TGCATTGCACCAGCAGTAACTAGGTGCATTCTTGTAGAGATAGTGGAGGCGTGAACATGTTTGGATTGTTTAGGCAGCCCCTTGTCCAATTTTAACACCTCATCTAGTGGCACGATAGGAGCTGAAGCATGTGTTGTATTTGAATTGTCAATAACCCCAGCAACAGAAGTCATAACCCTTTCATTAAAGAGCCCAACACTTGCCTTCAAACCTGTAGCATCTGCACTTCTCACAACATCAACATCTTCAAGTTCCTGCTCCTCATATTGCACTGCATTATCTATTAACTGAGTTGTTTTTTCAGTTAGATCAACATGTGCAGCAGTAGCTTTAATAACCCCAGCAGTAGGACTATTACCAGTTGCATTCAATGCAACATTAGCCTCTAATTGTGAACCTACAGTAGCTGATCGTCTTTCAGCTTTGTTAACTTGTCCTATTAATGTTACTGCTGCATTATTCTTGGCAAACATTGTTCGAACAGCTGTAGCTAAAGCACTGTCATTCATCATNCCCAGCAGTAGGACGATTACCAGTTGCATTCAATGCAACATTAGCCTCCAATTGTGAACCTACAGTAGCTGATCGTCTTTCAGCTTTGTCAACTTGTCCTATCAATGTTACTGCTGCATTATTCTTGGCAAACATTGTTCGAACAGCTGCAGCTAAAGCACTGTCATTCATCATCCCAGGTACAAACGCTGAACCTTTAGAAGTTCCAGGTAAAGCTTGATCAACCACAGTATTTTTTGCAGCCTTCAAGTCCTGAGCAACTCTAGCAAGGGCTTCAGCAACTGGGACAATTGCACTAGAAACAGGATTATGCCCCATATGCCTTGTAGATACAGCTGTTACATCTGCTGTCTTGATCAAATTTTCAGCGTGTTCATGAGCCCTTTGAGGAGCTCTTAACACCTTTGTATCATCTGTATGGTTAATGTGATCTCCAACAGTTTGATCACCATCATTTAAGGCCCTCATCTCATTCAAAAACTGACGCAAATCTCCCTTGTATTTTGCACCACCAATTTGTTCTTGACGAGGCTACTCTTCATCAATCTGAGCATCCTCATCACGATTTTTTTTTCTGAAGTCTTCGACACTTAGTTTCATCATGGCCTTGATGCTTACAACAATTACAATACAATGGTAAATTATCGTAAACGATTTCTTGAAAAACCTCCAGTACTTTTCCAGAAATTGTATCCACACTTTACAACCTTACGCGATTAGGATGTTTGTCAAGCAAGTCTAAGATCACCTTCACCCTAGCAGTGCTAGGTCTGGACTTAGTTTGTGTTGCCTTATCAATGGCAATTGGTTTTCCTACAGCACATGCTATGGACAATAATGAAGGCATCACAAACAAATCTGGTGACAGATTCTGCAACGATATCCAAACCACTGCTTTTGTTGTTTCCTCCTTTGGGTTGTAACCAATCGTCCATGGAAATACACGATATTGAAGCTGAACACCCTTATACAGCAGATAATTAACATAGCGAGCTAAAGCACTTACATAATCATCATAACGATCAAACCTTAGCAGTAATTGTCTTGGTGCGATTAAAACGATGATACGTCGACCTTTAACACCTAAGTGTTTGGGCAGTAATTCTCGTTGCTCATTGAGTTCTGGTGCTCCTGGAGATACTTTCATCACTACTGATTGATGCAAGCCTTCCTTCACAACAAACTGTTGTCGTTCTTCTAAGGAAAACATTACAGTTGGCTCTCCATGGATGAACTGGATTGGTTTGAGTTTTGGAGTTGTGCGAGGTATGGGGTCTATTTTTGTTGTGATTTGCTGAGCATATGTGGGTTTTATTGGTGGCTCTCCCACAGCCAAAGGCTGGGGAGAGATGACAGCATCCATGGCTTCTCAAAACGTCACCATATCATTAACGTGAAGAACTGAAAATAACAACAAAATCTGGAAAATTCTGCTTGCTACAGTAAATCGCGAAATAGAATGTAAGATCTAGAAAAATAGGTTATGAATTTGAGGATGAAACCAGTTGGGGACTGTTCTCTAAGAGAAGGGGGTTCTTTTAAGACCAATCTTGTGATATTACCTTGCCGGATGCCGGAGTTATGGCCTGGTGAATAGTGACGGAATTACTATTCACCTTCTTCCTAGAGAGAAGGAGGAGGATTTTTTGTTTTGTATTCTCTTTGACCTAGTTTTTTTTTGGCAATCCGCTAGGCAAGCGCCTAGGGCTAGTTTTTTATTAATAAAAAAGAAAAAAATACAACAATTAGGAAAAGTACAATTAGGAACTGAGACACTAACTTTGTCAAAGTTAGTGTCTTCCTCGTGTTCACGTTAATCAGCCCATGTTTTGCGAGTAAGGAAAAATTCACTCGTCACATCTTGTTGTTTCTTGGAATCAAGCATTTTATTTGCATAGTTTGCTTGAGATATTGCAGCCATACTTTTCTCTACCTATTGGTTATTTTCAGTAGATAAAAGTTGTTGCCCAGAATCGCCATCTCTCTCACCAAACGATTCCATTGACTGGGATGGAATGTCATGAACGGTGGTATTCAATGTAACTAATGGAGCATGGATCTTTGGAGTTGTGTTTATGAACATCGNCAGTAGATAAAAGTTGCTGCCCAGAATCGCCATCTCTCTCACCAAACGATTCCATTGACTGGGATGGAATGTCATGAACGGTGGTATTCAATGTAACCAATGGAGCATGGATCTTTGGAGTTGTGTTTATGAACATCGCTGCCTGAGCATCCTTTACCATCTTGGCCAGATCTGGATTGGATATCTTTAAAGTTGGTGAGGCTGCATTAGGTACTGCCCCTGCCTTTTGCTTGTCAATAGGAACAAGAGCAAGATCCTCGATATTTGATCGGGCATCTACGTTCTTCATGGACTGCTGTTGTTTTCCACTGCCTAGTGAATTGGACAGCCTAATTGTTGAAACTAAATCATGATCAACATGTTGTATGTTCATCTCAACATCCCCCAATGTAGGTTCATTTAGCAAAACATCAAAGAGTTAGAACACCTGAGGTTGTTTGCGTCTATAACCTGATTTGTGAGACCTCGAGAATTCTTTTAGTTAGGTGACTTGTTTGATCGATTTACTACCGTGAAGTCACCACCATTAGATTGTTGCACCCCTTTAGCACCTGACGTAAAAACATCAGTTACTTGTGTACGAGCAACAACAGATTTCACTGTATCGTGAGTACCTGCATAGAAGCTTCAATTGTCTCAGTTCCCTTCTTCAGTGCACCTGTTATCTGCTGGTTATTAGTCGTCTCCTATCCACAATTAATGAGCCCAACACCTTCCTTAAAACCTGTTGCAGCTGCACTTCCCAAAACAACATCTTCAAGTTCTTGCTCCTCATTTTGCACTGCAGTAGCTATTAACTCAGCTGGTTTTTCAGCAACTTGTGCAACATTAGCTTTAATAACCCCAACAATACATCGATTACCAGTAGCATTCAATGCAACATTAGCCTCCAATTGTGAACCTATAGAAACTGGTCATTTTACAGCTTTGTCAACTTGTCCTAGTACTGCTGCTGCTGCATTATTCTTGGTNTTTAATAACCCCAGCAGTACATCGATTACCAGTAGCATTCAATGCAACCTTAGCCTCCAATTGTGAACCTACATAAACTGGTTATTTTACAGCTTTGTCAACTTGTCCTACTACTACTGCTGCTGCATTATTCTTGGCAAAAATTGCTCGAACAGCTGCAGCTAAAGCACTGTCATCCATCAGCCCATGTTCAAAAGCTGAACCCTTAGAACTTCCAGCTAAATCTCGATCAACCACAGTATTTTTTGCAGCTTTCAAGTCCTGAGCAACTCTAGCAAGGGCTTCAGCAACTGGGACAATTGCACTAGAAACAAGATTAAGCCCTGCATCATCAGAATCAACATTATCTCGATGTGCTGCTGCTATATGCCCTGCTGCATTAATTGCTTCTTCTGCATATTCATGAGCCTTTTGATGTGTTCTGTCTTTTCCCACATCAACCAAGCTCCCTGACGATTTAGCTAGCTGTAATGCATTTAAGAAATCCCTGGCATCCCTTTTCAATTTTTCAACCTTGCTCATCTCCTCAACCAAGGCCAAAACTTCAGCAGGCATTATACGTTCAGTAGCAATAGTCGTCTCAATCAAGTTTTCTTCCTGTTGCATATCATAATTCGACCTATTCCTTGTCATCAATGAACGACAATCTTCACCAACATGTCCTTGTCGTTTGCACACATTACAATATGATGGAAGATTGTCAAACACAAACTCCTGTAAATGCTCAATAACCTTACCAGATTTCTCATCAATGAATTGTAACTTAATATTCTTGGGATGCTTATCAAGGAGATCAATAATTACCTTGACCCTCGCTGTGCTAGGTCTTGTCCTAGTTGTGTGGCTTTATCTATAGCAATAGGTTTTCCCACGGCTGATGCAATTGATAGTAAAAGCTTCTTTGCAAAAAGGTTTGTCGGCAAATCTAGAAACGACACCCATGCCACTGTTGTTGATGTCTCCGCCTTAGGATCGTAATCTTGAGTCCATGGGAATGTACGATATTGATGTTGTTGACCTTTGTATTGTAGATAACCAACCTGTTTTGAGACAATCGCTACAAAATCCTCATAAGCATCACATCGAATCAACAGTTGCCTAACTGCGAGCAAGCCAATCAAGCATCGACCCTTAATCCCAATTTGTGCTAGAATTATTTTACGAAGTTCCAGTAATTCTGGTGCACCATATGACAGCTTCATCACCACAGCTTGGTGGAGACTTTCTTCAACTGCGTATTCCTCCAATTCCTTAACAGAAAATTGTATCATAAGTTGTCCATAAACATTTTGGACAGGTTTAAGGATCATTTTAGTTACTGCTTGCAATTTTGCCGAGAATAGTGAATCATAAGAATTTGTTTTAGAGCTGGGATCCATCTCTCCCACAGCATGAAACTGGGGAGAGGCCTGCACATCCATGACTGAAGCTAACTCACCATTTATGTACAAGAAAATAGAAGAAGCAGCGCTGAAATTCTGGAAAAACTTGGCGCTACAGTGACTCTCGATCTAAAATCAAGATTTGTTACAGATGGCTATGGATTTGAGGATGAAATCAACTGGGGATTGTTCGCAAAGAGAAGGGGGTTCTTTTGAGATCAATCTTGCGATCTTACCTTGCCGGACGCCGGAGTTATGGGCCGTCGAAATATTTATAAGAATATGCTTTTGATATCATTTTTCATCTTTATCTAGTTTATATTATTTTTTCCTTGATTGCAAATAAAGAATCAAACATTTTCATCAATAGATTGAATTAATTCAAAACAACGCAAACTGACTAGGTGCACACCCTAATTTAACGTCCTTGACTAGCGGTGAGTTTACAATAAATACACCGACACCCGTAGGTCGTAGTTATCAAATCCTGGATCCGCCTTTACTTATGAGAGTAATATACTTTAACAGATCTCTCCTTTAAACGATGCAGAAATATCAAATAGTGGGTGTTTGGACATAAGAATTGTAAAATTCCAGAAAGTGAAAATGATATTTGAAAATTAGAGTTATGTTTGGACATGAATATAATTTTGGGTTGTTTTTGAAGTTTTGTGAGTGATCTAAGTGAAAATTTTGAAAAACAGTTTTTTGGAGATTTTCAAATTTTCGAAAAATTTTAAAATTCATCTTCAACACCCATTTCGAAAAAAGTGAAAAATTTTCGGAAAAAAAAGTAAAAAATTCTTATGTCTAAATGGGCTCATAGTCATGCCTTCAGCTAAATCCTAAAATGGAACGAAATCCTAGTTTTATTTTTCTGACAAAAAAGAATTAAAAAGTAGATTTAGCTTAATAAGGAACTAGTTAAATTCAAAACCTAAAAGAAAAATATCGCCCAAACCAAAATATCAACAAAAAAAAAGTATTAAATGCCCCATAGTAATAGGACGTTGACGCCTGACGTAATGGGTAAACGAAATAAATTGTAGAAACCCTACGAAGCTTGTGGGAAGATGTTATGTATTTAATTTCTATAGAAAAATACTTTATAACATGTCGCCCACTTGAGAATTATACACAGCCAAGTATTTAATAGGAAGACCAAGTCCACTTTCCACTTAATGATTACTTATTTTTTTCCAAAATACTCCCTCCATTCACTTTTACTTGGCATGTATACTAAAAATATATTTTTATTTTTTACTTGTCACTTTACGCATATTAAGAGAAGATAATTTTTTTTTCTTGTTATACTCACAATATTTATTACTCATTTCAAATTATTTTCTCAAATCCAATAAAATATGCATCAATTAATATGAGTATCATAGTAAATTATGCACTTCATTTATTATTTCTTAAGGGGCGTGAAAAGTCAAAATGTGCCTAGTAGAAGTGAACGGAGGGAGTAAATTTTATATATTTCAATCGATATAAAATTTAAGAAATCACAATTCTAATAGTTTTTAGATATTTAATAAATATCTACAATAAATTAGTGAAATTTTGATTTTCAACATGTAAAGAAATTCCATTGACTGGAACGTGAAAAAGGGAAAGCATTGCTACTAATTGTATATGGCCTGTTATTTATTAGTGCCATTCTCTATTTTAAAAGGCAGAATTGGGACTCGCTCGGGGCTAGTTCTGGGACGGAGCGCTCGTAAAACACCCATGAGCTTATGTGTGGCACTTAGTTCCGTGATACTTACATCTCGGCCGTCGGGGCTTACGCCCCGGACACGCCCAACACCCAGCGTACTGGGCTCGCCTAATAAAACTTTATGCAATTGTGTGTAACTAACCTTGTAAATCCTCAAATTTTCTTAATAAATCGTTGACTATTCAAAATTACTTTTTTCTTAATCATAAATCATTATGTTGAGAGTATTTATGTCATAACTAAAATAAAAATTATTGCATGTTATCCGCTAAGACTGCTATGTTAGTAAATTTTAAATAAATCTTTCATTTAAAAGTATTTATTTATTACCTTTTGCTATGTCTTTATTATTAGTACATAATCTTTTTATAATTATTTTTCTAAATATTATTATTTTCACGTTTACGAGATACAATAATTATTAATTTAATAGCTCAGTATTAGCTAGTAACTATTTACAAATAATTAGTTATCATGATATAGTATGGTGAATTATGTGTCACTTTATTAACTTGTTGAAACTTAAAAATAAATAATGCTAGAGAATCATATTTAAATTGTGAATTATATTTTTATATAAATTCTCTTTCAAATAAAAAGCATATTAAATAAAAAGAAAAAAAGGATAACCCGGTGCACTAAGCTCCCGCTATGCGCAGGTACGGAGAAGGGCCGAACTACAAGTGTCTATTGTAAAAGGAGTATTTTAAAAAAAAAATTAAATTATAATATCAAAATTCTTTCAAGATTCATTACTGCTTAGGAGATACATATAATATTTCGCATCGAATACATTACTTTGATGTTTGAGTTGCAACGACGTTGCAGCTAATTTGTATATTATGATATATATCATACTTTTTTGAATTATTCATAGTTGAATTATAATTTATAAATATTTTAAACAGATTATTTGTTATAATTTTGTGATTTTAATGTAATTTTTATAATTATTTTTATTTTAAACTATCTTAAAATTAGTAAAATTTAAAGATCCGTGGAACTTATGCCTCGCTTCGCCAAAGGTAAAACGCCTCGCATCATGCCCTCACCTTTTAAAACATTATTGCCATAACTATCTTTACAAATATATGTACTACTTATCCCAAAAGAAGAAGAAAAGCAAGATCTTAAACATGTGCAAATATAATTCTGAAATAAAGATGTAGGGTTAGGGCATGTTGTTATTGTCTTTCATATTTCAATTTCAATCAAAAGGTCTCTGGAACTAGGGGTTCCAAAACCGAATCGAAAACCGCACCAAATCGAAAAATCAAATCAAATTAATTAGGTTTGGTTTGATTTGGTTTGGTATTGAGTAAAAAACTCGAACCAAACCATCATATAGATATGTAATTTTTATATATACTTTTAAGACTTTATATAGAATTTTCTTTAAAAATAGCTAAAACTATTTGGGATCCTCTCATAAGATGTAATATTTAATATAACTATGAAGTGCATTCATTTCTATTTACTTTAAATAATAGGTTGTGTCACTTTCTTATCAAGTGTTATTGAAATGCACCAATCATTTCTTTTTTCTTCCATAATCATATGTCAAGATTTCTTATATCTTTTTTGAATTCGAAATATTTCGATTACTCAAATTTAAATAGAATATATCATTATTTAGGTATCATATTGATTTTTTTATTTAATTATTAAATTTGGTTAACCTCGAAAGTATATGTCAACGAAAAATTATTATTAGAGACGACTAAGAAAATAATTATCACGTGTTAATAGAAAAAAAATTCTCCCATAATAATATTTTTGTAGATCATACGTTTGTCAGTTTTTTTTTAATTCTTACTAAGAGCATCTCCAACTCTCCCTCATTTCTTCAAAATGCATCCCTTTTTCGCCAAAATGTGGCTCCAATGCTCCCCCATTTTCCCTCCAAAATGGGGGATGAATAGTGTTACTCTAAATTTCTATTCATCTCCTCCATTATTATTCATCCTATTCATCTCCTATAAAAACAATATTCATCTCCTCCATTACTATTTATCCTTACTTTATTATTATTATTATTATTATTATTATTATTATTATTATTATTATTATTTAACTCTTTTATTTATCTCTTTATATATACTTAATTATGTTTATGTAATATCTTTATAATATGCATNATATATATATATATATATATAATCTATAATATTTGTAAGCAAATATTATTATTTAAAAATTTAATGTATAAAATAATTTTATATTAAATTATATGTGATGAATATGTAAAAAGAAAAAAAGATAGAATTTGTTTAATAGAAATAAGAAAATAAAATTTAAATAAAAGATAATAATATAATATTGAAGAAAGAGAAGAATATAAAATGGAATATTCTTTTTTGGAGTACAAAATGGAGTAATGGTTCGAGTAACTTTACTCCATTTTGGAGAAGAAAATGGATGCAAGGGTTGGAGATGGCCTAAACGTAAAATTGGAGTATTCACTTATCAAAATTGTATCTATAACTTTAACAAAGTAAGATTGAAATAATATTCATGTAACAAAAAAAATCAAAAAATCTGAAAACCCGACAAAATCG